CTACCCGCTCCCAGAAGTCGCCCCAGGTGCACAGTATCCCTTCCTCCTCCCAGAAGTCCCCCCCCCCAGATCTAAAGTCTCCCTTCCTCCTCCATATCTCCCTAATTCCATTTTGTACAACCATCCATTATCCCCGTATTTGATTGTAATTCATCAATTTGGTCATCTATAATGAGAACAATGGGGTTGGGTTCTGGTATAATAGTTCCCCACTATGTTGATCATTCAGGTCAGCTCCATATACATTTTTGATGCACCATTAACTTCCAGTCTTAAAATACACCCCCAAATACAACACACATAACACGCTCTCTCTGTATACCGGAACGCAGCAAATTTAGGTAACACATGGACAATAGGTAACACAGCGACAATACACACAATGCTGAACAATGTTGTTTAATGAGGATTTCTGTGAGGCTCTTTTTTCATTGGACCTTTTTTAGGCATCACTGCTTTTGTGGTGTCCAGACTTGAACTTCACATAAATGAAGGAATTGTGACTTTCCAGGTAAAACTACATTGACGTATTGGCCAACCAGGCCATGGCATGGGAAGTGCTGTGTTCCTCCGTTAGGGATCGAGGTGACCACCCCACACCTGCGAAGGGAAATTATTACTACTTATAAAGTGATGATTGTTACAGTAATATCAATAATAAATGTATTTTAAAAATCAGCAACATAGTATTAAAAACAGAATTGCATAATAAAAGATAAAATAAAAAAAGCAGGTTTTGCTGCAGCGCTCACATACAATTTGGCAGTACTTGCTCTAGCCACTAGATGTCCTCAGTTTTTCAGGTTAACCTTCCCGGCGGTAATCTTGAGTGTGGCCTGGGGTTAATTTTCAGTACCATAAGCGGTAACCCCAAGCCACACTTAGGATTACAGTTTAGAGTTACTTACCTTGCCCCTCGAGCCGCGCTGTGTCCTCCGGCCGATGCCTGCATCTGTCTTCCGGGTTCTGTCCCTTGCGAGCGTCCGCGACGCAAGGGGGCGGAACCGGCGGGAATATTTTTATTTTTTAAAAAGGAAATAATCAGACAGCCAGGGATGTTAAATGACAGCCAGTGTCATTCATTCCAATTCCTCTGAGACCTGGCTGTCATGGACACACCCCCTGGGGAGGCGTCATCACTCCTGGCCTGAGAGTATTAATGCACTAAGCTGTGCTCACGCATCATTATATGGGCACGGCTCAATGCAGCATAGGTACTGCCCCCTGCTGCTTCTGCCGGAGAAGTAGAAGGATATATGTGTGTGTGTATGGAGGGAGAAGGACAGGACAAGGACAGGCACGCCCCAAATACTTGCCATCGAAATACACAGGGCTGTCTCTCCCCCAATGCAAAGTGGACCATAAGACAGTGCTGATAAACCTTGTTCACATATGGAACTCAGAGATACAAGGTAACATTTGCACTGTTCCATTCCAAGGGATGAGCTGCAATCGGCCCATTAAATTATTATTATTACTATTATTATATAGGATTTATAGAGCGCCAACAGTTTGCGGAAGACATTACAGTCACAATACAATACAAGACAAGATGGTAAGGAGGGCCCTGCTCCTGAGGGCTTACAATCTAAAAGGGAGGAGCCAGTGATACATGAGAAGGGAGCTGTGTGGGGATGAATTGTTTGAGAACGTGATAGTTCAGTGGTTAGGTTGAGGTGGGATGGGCTTCCCAGAAGAGATGAGTCTTAAGAGATCGCCTAAAGGCAGTCAGAGTGGGAGACAGACGGACAGGTTGGGGTAAAGAGTTCCAGAGAATGGGAGAGACTGTATAAAAGTCCTGGAGGCGAGCATGGGAGGAGTTGACAATGAAGCTACAGAACAGGAGGTCTTGTGAAGAGCGGAGGGGACGGTTAGGGTGATATTTTGAGACAAGGTTGGAGATATAGCCGGGGGGCGGAGTTGTGCACAGCTTTGTAAGTGATTTTGAATTTTATCCTTTGGGCGAGTGGAAGCCAGTGTAAGGATCGGCAGAGGGGGGTGGGGGATGGAAGCCAGTGGAGGGATCGTAAGAGGGGGTTGAAATCACTTAAAGCAAACGAAGAAAAATAATAATTAATTTTTAACCCATTATTAGCCCCTAGTTTCCCCTACTTAGACCTAATTAACACCTTCTTCCTCTTCTCCCCTGGACTATTATTTTCCTGCTGATTTTATTTATCTATTTATTTATTTTATTCTGCTTTTACATTTTTTTCTAAACATTTTTTTTGTTTTTTTTGTTTACTTTTTTTGTTTATTTTTTGATATAGGATATTGCTATAGATTGCATAAAAATAACATCATTTTTACAAGACATCATCGCCAAAAGAAAACCTAAATTGTATATAGATGTGGTTAAAAAAATTATAAATGTTTTACTTTGTTATCTTAAAGTGATATTAAAGCCTATTTTTTTTTTTTTTACATTTCTCCTTTAAAGGAGAACTATAGGGTCAGGGCTTTTCCCCATAGTTCTCCTTAGGGTAACGGGGGGACACAAACTAGCGTCCTCCCGTCACCCTAGGCTCAGTATATAGGGAGCTACAGCTCGCGGTATACGGAGACGCCGCAGGCGGAGCGGATCCCGACAATTGTGCCGGGATTCGCCCAGCTGCGTGAGTGACAGCTGGCTCTGCCTATCTAGAGGCAGAGCCAGCTGTACCCGCCTCCTCCCCATCTGTTCCGCCAGTCAGCGCTGGAGGATCGGAGCGGGGAGGGGGGAATCCAGCCCGTCCCCTGTCACGGCAGAGAGCGGTGACAGGATCGAGAGGTGAGCGAACGCCGGTATGTGTTCGCTCACTTCCCGATCTACTGAGCTGACCTGTGACAGTCTCATTGTCACAGGTCGGCTAGAACTATGAGGTGAGCGAAAAGCACCCGCCCCATAGTTCTCCTTTTAAGGAGATCCACCTTTGCCGGAGGCTGTTGCTTTTTATCATTAAAAGTTTATCTTTCCTCGTTTTCTAGTGGCTCCCCGCAGTGCTTTTCCTCCCACCCCCTGCACAGGTGCCACCATCGTTCTAGTGGAGGCACCCATTGTGCGCTCGTGCCCACTCTTTTCCGCACTGGCTCTGTGTGTCTATAGACACACACACGGCGGGTACGAGCGTAGCTGACAGGTAAGTGTGGGGGGGTATACTGGGGTAGAAAAAAAGGTGCTGGGCGGTTTTTACCCTAATGCAGAGAAAATTTGCTCTGGTCCATATGGCGTGTGCAGGAGTGAGAGTTGACGATGAGGGGCAAGGAGGAGAAAAAAAAAAAAAGATGTCAGAATCCTCCTTACCTGGCATTATTGTTTCCGTTGTTGGTCAGAGAGTTTCCTACGAGAATTTCGGCTCCGTTCAGTCTCTCACCGCAGCAGTCTCCCCTGTTGGTGATGGTGATGTAGGTGATTTTGTAGGGTTTCAGCAGGTCCACCCTCCACCAGGGGGACGGGTCATTGTGTGTATGTGAGCAGGAGCCGTGGAAAAAGTTGGAGTCTGGGTTCCCATCTATGGCATTTATGGCTGCGGTCAGAAAGCCCTGCGTATAATCCTGGTAAACTGAGGACTGGGTCGCCCGACCCTGGAGGGCGACATTCACATCTGTGAAAGAAAGGGAGATAAAACTATTACGTTGTGCACAAAGATAGAGAGAGAGATTAAAGGGCAACTATCATAACTACTGGCTAAAGGCATCATGGCACACTCACAAACCAGCATGTAAAACAACTTGTCTCACCACTAAGGACAATGACAGAGGTTTGGATACACGTCTTCTGCTGCCTTTAAGGAAGTTGGGCGTCCTCCTGACAAACCTGCACCCAATTTGATATCTTCTGCCCCCATGTGCTCCAAGATGGAGACTCTCATAGTTTAGAGTTAAGACCGCACTATAAGAGGTGCCTTGGCGCGGTAGTGCGGCTTACACATGCTCAGCAGAAGACGTGTATCCAAAACTCTGTCATTGTCCTTAGTGGATATATTACAATGACACCTGGAAGTGGGGGTGGGGGGGATATATTACAATGACACCTGGAATTGAGAAAAAATGGACAAGTGTGGGGATTTGAGGGACGAAATTGTGACGACTGGGTCAGAGCAACTCTAAAACCGCAGCTCTTGTGGGATGTTCCCGGTCTCTGCAGTGGTCATTATCAAGTCCAAGGTACAAGAGCAATGCTACCAAGACTGGTAATAGATACAGGGCCAGATTTACTCTCTCAGCTGCCCCAAGGCCAGGCTCCTCAATGCGCTAGAATGGCAGACCTGCAGGCTGCATAGAAGTGATCTCAGCGAAATCGTCGGGATCACTTGTACATAACAGGCGGCGGCTTCCCCGCTGTACATTTAGCTCTGCTTGCCCAAAGCCGGGCTGAATGTAGAAAATAACTACTCGCCCGTCTCCCGGAACTGCATGTCCTGTGCATTGCGAGATTGGAATTCTACACCCCTGCTGCCCCCAGACCGGGCCTTGGTTGGCCTTGTGGATAATTCGGCCCTGAATAGATACAATTGAGGTTACAGACCCCATCTTGCCACGTGTCTCCATATCATAATCTATATGTGGCTTATACAGGGTTATGAAATGATGACAATGATAGTGTCAGCCTGTTACAATGGAAGTTCTGAGCAGACAGGACCAGCGCTTCTTACACTGAGCAGAGACACCGCAGAGGATCCACAAGATGGCGGCCGTGTGCAGAAATATCATTCTCATGATTCAGAGCGTTCCACGGAAATTCACCTAAATGTAGAGAAAATAAAACACAATGTTATCTCGCAGCAATAACATATCGGAATGGCCTAGAGCTGATAGTGAAGAGAAATCTCCCCGAGACACAGAAGGCAGAAAAAGTGTAAAGAAGATGTTTTTGTATAAATAATCTTTCACACGTGAACCAAAGTTCAACCTCCCAATCCCGTGTCCTGCAACTGTTATGTTATACACTGAGCGGCCAGATTATTATGACCCCCCCACCCCCCATCAGTACTTCGTTGGGCCGCCTCGTGATTCCACG